ATCTTTTTGTAACACTCTCGCGACCGCAGTCTCACCTGATGAAGAAGCCCAGCTGACACACATGCAGGAAAAGCAACAAGTTTACTCTTTTCGCCCCGCTGAACAAAACTGCGTTCCCGGCGGACGCTTGAGACTCAAAGCCCTTCAAATCGCGATCATACTGCAGCCAAAACCAGCTGAAGAGCTGAAGGACGACAGATGACAGGAGCATGAAGCCCACGAAGACCCCGCACCACATGAGCTCTCCACGCGTGTAGAGCTCCCTCGCCACCCACAGATCCGAGCCCACATCGAACAGAAAAGTGCACACTCCGATGAGCGTGAAGAACCAATCCAGCAGGGAATACTTGGGGAACGTCGCGCAGTTCATCATGAGATGAGCTTCAACGCCGAAGCAGCGGACTGAAGTTCAGCCACAGCATGCATGTAGCCGCGTACCGTTAGCACACGCACGGTTGCAATTAAAGTTAGCTACATACAATTCCAGGAGCGGTTTAATCTTCACGTAACTGTTGATTCATGTCAAGCTTCAACGCCGAAGCAGCGGACTGAAGTTCAGCCACAGCATGCATGTAGCCGCGTACCGTTAGCACACGCACGGTTGCAATTAAAGTAAGCTACATACAATTCCAGGAGCGGTTTAATCTTCACGTAACTGTTGATTCATGTCAACGAGAACTCCACGAGAAAGCACGTCTTCAGAGCCATTTCTACAGCAGCAGATACACCACGACATTGTCTAGCACATGAACGCCACAAACTTTCAGCGCTGTGCAACTTAAGCCACGCCCACAGGACTTCACACACTGCGGCTGGTCACATGGAGATAGGTCATTATTATCTGTAAGCACTTTAAATTCTATTAAGCAGTAAGGGAACGCTCTTTTAGTAATAAGTATGAGAAGCTATGGGAGTGCACTAGCCAAGCTTAGGAAAGCTGAGGAAGAGGCAGTAATTGGTGAAATTGCTGTTGTTACTCAGAGGCCCCCTGAAAATCTCTCAAATGTTGAAACTGCTTTGCTTTCTAAATTACAAAACCAGCTTGATGATATTTACAAATGTAACGCTGAAGGCGCCTTTGTGCGATCTAGGAGGAGGTGGATGGAGCAAGGCGAACACAATTCTGCATACTTCTTCAGGCTCGAAACATCTAATGCCAGTTATAATAGCATGACTAAACTCAGTGCTGATGGTATCATAACAGATAACCCCAAGACAATTTCTGATTATTGCTATAAGTTGTTGTATACCTCTAGGTTCGATGAGGATGACACATCCTCATTTTTAGACTCAATAGTTGACCTGAATACCATAGAGGTAGATGGCAATAATCGGTGTGATGAACCAGTTTCCCTTAAAGAAACCATTGATTCTATTAATCATCTTAAAATCAGCAAATCTCCGGGGAATGATGGTATGACTGCAGAATTTTATAAGGCCTTCTCTGAACCCTTAGCTCCATTTCTTACAGAAGTTTATGCAGAGAGTATTCTGAGAACATCTCTTCCTCCTAGCTTGACACAGGGTGTGATTACTCTGATTCCAAAACCCAAAAAGGATCCACTTCTTATTGAAAATTGGCGTCCAATTTGTTTACTTAACACTGATTAGAAGATTCTAGCTCACATTTTTGCCCAAAGATTACAGAAAGTGATGAGCTATTTAATTGATGAGTCTCAATCTGGATTTATAAAAAAAATAGGCACATTTCTAATAACATCAGATTCATTTTAGACATCCTTGACTATTCTGATTTGATTTCAGAGGAAAGTTTTATTTTATTTTTTAGACTTCTACAAGGCATTTGACACCGTGGAGCATGCTTTTATTTTCCGTTGCCTTCGAAAATTTGGTTTTGGTGATTTTTTTTTTTTTTATAATGCCATAAGGACACTTTATGCTAATAGTAATTGCTCACTGAAATTTAGTTTTGGTTTGTCACCCAGATTCACCCTTCAGAGGGGCATCAGGCAAGGATGCTCTATCTCACCCTATCTTTTCCTCCTTGCCACCCAGATTTTCTCACACTATATTAATAAAAGTACCTTGAAAGGGATTCTTATTGCAGAAAGAGAAATAAAGATCAGCCAATTAGCAGATGACACTGCTCTTTTTTTAAGAGATGCCTCTTGGGTCCCTATTGCAATCTGCACTGTTGAAAGATTTTCTAAAGCTTCTGGTCTTTTTTTAAATTTGTCTAAATGTGAACTACTTTCAATTAAAGAGTGCAACCTTTCTACAATTAATAATATTCCAATTAAAGATAAGATATCTTATTTAGGTATCTCTATATGTAAAAATCAAAATAATAGGTGTGTATTACATTTTTCCCCAATTATTGAGAAAACACAAAGAAAATGTAATTTATGGCTGCAGAGAGACTTATCTCTGAGGGGAAGAATATTGCTTGCCAAAGGGGAGGCAATCTCAAAATGTTATTTAATTTCATATGGAAAAATGGCATACATTTTGAAATCTTGATAACACCATATTGAGCAACTATAGACCAATATCAAATCTTCCTTTTATAGGAAAGATTATTGAAAAGGTAGTCTTTAATCAGCTGAACAAATACTTAAACTCAAATGGATACCTGGACAATTTTCAATCTGGTTTCCGACCGCATCACAGCACAGAGACAGCACTCATTAAGATAATAAATGATATTCGCTTAAATTCTGAATCTGGCAAAATATCAGTGTTGGTACTACTAGATCTCAGTGCTGCGTTTGATACTGTCGATCATAACATACTACTAGAGAGACTGGAAAACTTGGTTGGGCTTTCTGGCATGGTAATTAAATGGTTCAGGTCATACTTAGAAGGGAGAGGTTATTATGTGAGTATAGGAGAGCATAAGTCTAAGTGGACGTCCATGACATGCAGAGTCCCACAAGGCTCAATTCTTGCACCGCTCTTGTTTAGCCTGTATATGCTCCCACTAAGTCAAATAATGAGAAAGAACCAAATCGCCTATCACAGCTATGCAGATGATACCCAGATTTACCTAGCCTTATCACCAAATGACTACAGCCCCATTGACTCCCTCTGCCAATGCATTGATGAAATTAACAGTTGGATGTGCGAGAACTTTCTTCAGTTAAACAAAGAAAAAACCATCTGATTTCCCCCTCCTCCATCTGTTCTCTCTCTCTCTTATATTATGTTTTAATATCTCTTACTCGTATTCGAGGTACACATGCGCACATGTATGCATTAGCTTTTCTGGGTTCAAATGTTCAAATGAGGACACGAAAGCTAGGACTCCAAGGTAATGGGGTTCGTGATGAACTATGAAGATAGTTCAGCATCCTTCGCCAAGTTTATTCCTAATATGTCCATATTTTCCTGTACATGTGGCCATTTTGTATAACACATATTCTTGGCCAACATCCTATATGAATGTCATCTATATCCTCATTGGTTAAAGGGTTGAAACTCCCCTCGACATATGCCTATATAATATCTTTGTATCTATGAATAAAGTTGAAGTATTGAGAATACCACTGAATGTGTGTTTTCTTGCTTCCCGGCCGTTATACACTTTGAGGGACTGAGAATTTTCCAGGTGGCAAAGAGAATCTATAGGGACCGATTGTTAATTACTGACAGTTATATACCTCTGTTTTGTACCCTGTAGTTTTTTTTCTCTTTTTTTCTTATTATTTATTTTGTTCTACATTGTGACTGCTTTTATCTTTGTCTATATAATGTTCTTAATAAATAAAAAAATAAAAATAAAAAAAAAGATAGGTCATTACCATATTCAAATCAATTTCAATACAAATAGATTCAATGTTTTTGCACGGAATTGGCTACATTTAAAATTGTTTGGAATTAGTCGTATGTCAATTTCATGAATACACTTTTACTCAGAAATTGCACAGTGTTTTTGTAGAACGTGCAAAATACATAAGTAAATACTATAAAAATGATTCAGTACACTATAAGTGTTATTTTTAGCACCTATGTGGAAGTGCTTTGGAGTCGTTTTAAAAGTTTTAATAATATGCATAGCCCTATTTGTTTCTGACCATTAGAGAGCAGTGTTGTACTGTAGTAGACCTTCATAACTAACTTATGTTACAACAAACTATATACATATATATAACATGCAGTTCATGGTGTGTGATGCTTTACTAGGCTTTTCTCACAGATCCATTTAATAGCATTACTACATGGATAATCAGCCCCTCCGTGAATAATTTCGAGCACAGTTCTCTCTTCTTTGTCCATTGGGTTCTCGAAGATCCCAGAACCTGCAACAGCAGATCAGCATTAGATGTTCAGTGCTGCTTTCTGTGTGATGTAACGTATTGTATTATTAAAATGCATGCCACCTAGTTAATATTGAGAATTGATCCCTAAACTAAATTTTAACCGTTTTCTCAGTCTCTTAAAGTTTGTGTTGCTTGTGTTTGTGTCAAGGAGTTTGGTATCTCTTGTTGCGTCTGTCCATATCCCATGCTCCATCAGTGTTTATATTGCCATGAATAGGCTGAGACATTTTTGTAAATGGTGGATGCTCCGTGTGTTTTTGTAGTCCTCTGCTTTTTGACTCTAATTTCAGTAGGTGAGGCCAGTGGGGGAAAAAAATATTTTTAAAGGGCATTGTAGTGTTCACCTTGTGGTTTCACTGATCTGAGGACAGTGTGTGAAGTCGCATGACACGCGACTCTTAAAGAAGCTAAAAGCAACGTTTTGCTTTAACATAACGTGAGTAAGTGACTTCTTTCTGTGTGACTTTAAAGCGTGCATGAAATCAAAATTCACAACATTTATTCCCACCAGGTGATTGCATGAGAGGAACACAACAAACTCACTGTAGCTGCTCTGGAGCTTCAATTCCCCTGTTATTCCATGTATTTAATCATGCCTCTAAAGCAGGTCACAGTGTGCTGCAAGAGATCAAATCCTTTACAGATGTGTATTTGATTCTTAAGAAACCCTTCAAATTCTTACTGGAGCTGACAATGACCAGTGTGGAGCCATACATAATCTTTAATAATGAAAATAACATAAGGGTAACATGTAAACAACTTGCTAAATATAAATAAAGTAAAGCAATCTGGGGTTTAGCTTTCAAAAAAGCAAACATCTAAATAATGGTAAGCCACGTATGTAGGTGAATAGTTTTTTTTTGTTGTTGTAGCAAAATACAACAGTTTTTAGGAAGCGACTACAAATGAATGCATGTATAGGCCTAAACAGGTATTACTTCTAGATCAGGAGTGTTCAGTCCTGCTCCTGCAGGGTCACCATCCTGAAGACTTGAGCTGTAACTCAACTGCCTGGAATCTTCTAGTGATCCCAAAGACCTTGATTCGCTGGTTAAGATGTGTTTTACCAGGTCTGGAACAGGGTTATTATCATTAGCTAAAACTTTAAAACTTTAAAAAAATTAAAACCCTGTGGGGAAAAAAGCGTGTGTTGTTCTTAGGGCCATCCACTCTTCTCACAGATCCATTGATAAGCACCATTGCAAGTAATATCAATCCACCCTATTAATTCAGGGTGCTTTTTTAAATAAGTCACAGCACAATTCTCTTGTCTACCTCCATTTGGCTCTGTTATTTGTCCACTGGATGCCCAGAACCTGCAACAGCAGATCAGCATTAGATGTTTAGTGCTGCTTTCTGCATGATATGATCCTGACTGTGAGAATAATTTATTACATAATAATCAGTTCAGTGCTTTCTCACCCAGAGGTCACGCTGGTGCCATCAACCCATTTCCATCTGCCCTCTTCCTTGATGTCAGTCACACCAATCCAGAATTCTCTTTTATCAGTCATTTTTGTAACAAAATCCTAAATAGATTCAGAGTTTATTTCATGAACCGACAATGGACACATTTCATCTGACACCACAAACACACACAGTATCTCTCACTCACTTGTTTCTCTCGGTTGTTTATGATGATCAGATCTGCTCCTCTCTCTGTACAGTATTTTCTGCTCTCAGTCCAGCTCTTCTTCAGTGATGAAATGAAGTAAAAGCTGAAGTTAGAGTGTAACCATCCATCTGTAAACACAACCAGCTCAGTTATTAGCTCATTATTCCCACCTAGAGTACAGCGAATGCTGAAACTTGTTTTTAGATATAGCATATTGCTTAGTTGCAGTTCAAAGTTCACCCGTTTCATTGAGAATCTTCTGCAGTCGATTTCTCTCTTGATTGAACTGGTCTCTTTGTTTGAATAATCCATTCCTTTCATTTGTCAGGTTTATGTACTTGGTTAGAAGCAGGTCACTCTGTTCTGTGAGGTTGTTAATCTTGGATAGTAGCTTGTGTGTCTCTTCTCTGTAGTTTGTGTTCTTTGTATGGAGGTGGACACACAGCACTATGACTGCAGTCAGCAGAACAACACACAGCAGCAACAGACACACTGCAGCTGCTCTGGAGCTTCTGATCTGCACTGGATCACTTCCTGAAAGTGACGGGTATAAAAATAAATGTTTCTTAATTTCTACACCCAATAAAATATCAGTTTGCTTGTATTTTACCTGTGTGTTGAGGTGTATGGTTTGCCTTGGTGCATCTGTCCATAACCCATGTTCTATCAGTGTTTATATTGCCGTAAATACTCTCAGACATTTTTGAGTGGCTTTCCCGCAGTCGTATAAATGATGGAAGCTGTGCGTTTTTAATGTGTGGTCTGTTTAAGACTCTACTCTTAGCAGATGGGCTGAACATGGACAAAGTATAGCAGCATGTCATATCCTGTCTGCTTATACCAATTTCATTTGCATTCCTTAAAAGGCATAGTTTTGCTGAAGAATATAATCACATGATTTGGTGTTGCTTGGTTTCACACTTTGTTTTGCACATCATCAGCATATTTATAGTCAAGTTATAGAAGAACGGAAACTATCTGAAGTCCATGTGTTAAGTTCAAAATCACAAGACACAACATTTAACAAAGCTGCTGTGCACTTAAATGTTTAGCACTTTGTTTGCAAAAGTTTGCAAATGTTTAGTTGTATGATAACAAAATATTTGTTAAACAACAACTCTGACTTGCTGGACTAAATATCCATATTATAAATATGAATTCATATTAATATGTATAATATTATTATATTAATATTAATAAATATGAATTATATTTTATAATGAATGTCCTTCTCTGCCTTGAAATAAAAAGGAAGAAATGGGGAATACAATAATAATGCAAATGAATACTAATGAATTAATAAGTCAATTATTATTATTATAAATTATTATTATTGTTACATTTTTTAAATCTTCAAGTTATGTAATGACACATTGAATACATGCATAAAAGCAATATACAGTGGGTACGGAAAGTATTCAGACCCCCTTAAATTTTTCACTCTTTGTTATATTGCAGCCATTTGCTAAAAAAGGGGGTCTGAATACTTTCCGTACCCACTGTATATACAGGTATAGACACACACACACACACACATTCATACAATTCTTTTAGTTTTACAGTTTTATATAAAAAAAATATGATAAAATAATAATGCTGTACTAATGAATACAAATGAAATTATCATTCTGTGTCTGTAGAACGAAGATTATTAATTGTGATATTAGTTTTAATCAAGACATTAGTTACTTGGTGTGTTATTTTAATGCTGTTTTTCAATACAGTTCAAACACATACTTATTCATTAGATAATATGAAACTTCAGAACATGACAAAATAACTTTTCTATTGTAATATATTTAAAAATGTAATTTATTTCTGTGATGCGAAGCTGAATTTTCAGCATTATTACTCTTCAATGTCACATGATCCTTCAGAAATCCAATATGCTGCTCGAGAAAGAGTTGTGCCACTTCATATATTTGTGGAAACTGTGGTACATTTTTTCATGATTCTTTGATGAATAGAAAGTACAAAGGCCAAACAAAGTAGTTTTGCTTTCACAACGAAGCACACAGCTCTTCACGACATGGTGGCGGCAGCAACAAAACTACAGTGAGAATAAAAGTTACACCTTTCTTTGCGTGAACATTTGGGCGGCGTTATGCAAATCTTCCCACATAGTGAGGTAGACATGTGGGGGCATGTTAGAACGAGCCGTTTTAGGTAGGCGTGGTTGACTCTTAACTTTTATAAAGAATATCTCTTTGGATTTGAGACTTTAGTCTTTGCAACTTTACAGATCTTCTTTATGCACCAAGAGCTTGTAACACTTCAAAGAGAAAGGAAAAATTGAAATCACATCATATGACCCCTTTAATGTATCCTACCTGAATAAAATTATTAATGTCCATAAAAAGAAATCGTTTTGATCCTAATCTTTTGAATGGTATAGTGTACCATGCTATAGGTTTTACTTTTCACAGATAAACCTTTTTAGTTGTGAGCATGAAGCATCAAACCATTCACTCTCAGTTTCCAGACAAGCACAATCTTCTCCATCTGAGTCCTCCTGTGTCCAGTTATCAGGTTCAGATAGACCAGCTGTCCTTTTATGCCGGAACCGGTCACAGTAAACCGTTGCACATTTCTCAGTTGCAATACAGAAATTAAAATGTAGCTCAACAACACGGAAAAGATGCATTTATGCCAGCTAAAGTGAATGAACTCAAACTCTTACGTTTCTCCTGAGAGAATTGTGTTGTCCACCCACATCCAGTGTCCTTCAGTGTACAAATCATGTAGTCCAATCCAATGCAGCTCTTTCAGCTTTATTGAGGCCAAATTATACTGGGAAAGGACATAATAAGACAAGTTCATGAGATGTGATATGTAATTGTGTCCATGTGAATTTAATAGTTATTTTGGTTATGGGGTTGGCCAAAAATACAAAACGTATTGTTGATTATCAACATTTTCTGGAAGTCAAGCACCTCCTTTTACTCACCAAGAGTTGTTTTTAAATCTAAAAACACACATAAATATATTGTACACTTATCTGATCATCTTTGCCTGCTAGTTTGACCAGCTGACCTCCAGTTTTCATACAATAATCTCGACTTTCCATCCAGTTCAGTTGTTCTGAAGAGAAATAGTACGAAGAGAAATAGTACTTTCTCCTCTCAAATGTGCTGTCTGTGCAAGAACAGTATGGATGCAGAACATCTGACATGAATGTATGCACTTTAAGAGAGCATTTATTTAGCAAAATGTCCAAGCTGATTTCTTGAGCATATGACCTAAGGGTTAAAATGTCTTGAGCTTTTTCCAGCTCAGATGAAGTTAATACAGATCACTGCAGTAGGATGGTCACAGTATCCAACCCAAAAGTTTCTCTTCCTCAAAAAATACACGCAGATGGAAGAAAAAAGAAAACCCAAGTCAGCTAAAATTAGTACTTTGGTGTCAGTACTTCAGTAACTTGAATTGTGAAAACAGCAGGTGTGTGTGTTACTCTTCCTCTCTTAGACTTCACTGCTCATGGAGATTTAGGGAATTTTATAGAAATAGTTCACCTATATAGAACTTACTTACTCACCTCAGTTTATTCATTGATATATGATTAAACTACAGTTCAAAAGTTTGAGGTCAGTAAAACTTTTTTTAATGTTTTTAAAGAAGTCTCTTAAATTCACAGAGGCTGCATTTCTTTGATCAAAAATACAGTAAAACAATAATATTGTGAAATATTATTACAATTTAAAATAAGTGTTTTCAATTGTAATATATTTAAAAATGTAATTTATTCCTGTGATCAAAGCTGAATTTTCATTACTCCAGTCTTCAGAGTCACATGATCCTTCAGAAATCATTCTAATATGCTGATTTGCTGCTCAAGAAACATTTCTTATTATTATCAATGATGAAAATTATGTTTTTGTGTAAACCTCAATACATTTTTAGGAATCTTTAATGAATACAAAGTTCAAAAGCACAGCATTTATTTAGAAATATTTGTAACATTATAAATTTAGTCTTTACTTTTACCGCAAACCTTTGAACAGTATTTTTTTAGCTTAACAAAATAACTGAACAAACAAACAAAAAAAAAAACGATATAGAAAATGTCGTTAAGAAAGTCCAACACAAAAAGTAAAAGACATAGCAGCACATGTGACACATGGGTAGCACACGGTCAATGAATTCACACCCACCCACAGTCTTTTCTCACACAGTCTTGGAACCTTCAAACTGAATGTCATTAATAATGACTAAACCAGAGTACGTCTCCTCACCTGTGGCATTATGCTCCTGTATTTCAATGTCGACTGCAGCATTTCTGTTCTGTTCTTTTAACAAATCAGATGACCTCAGTAGATGGGAATCTGAAGTAAGAATATCATATAAAAGTGTACTGGTGTAACGCATATTTTATACGTAAAATATGCCATGCTTACGATGTGAGTTATATGCTGCTGCACAATATGCAGCAAACTGTGCCTTGTATGTATGTATGTATGTATGTTGGACAATGTGTGCACCATCATAAGTGTTAAGATATTGTGTACTCACAGAGAATTCCCAGAACACACAGAGCCAGCAGAGCCACGAGCAGAGAGATACTAAGGACAGCCAGAAGAACTGCCTTACAGGACGGGTCTTTCTCTTTCCTAGATGAGAATGTGTGTTCAGATGCATCTGTAAACACCCAGGGCAGATCTATTACTCATATATGAATGTAAATTATGATACTATGTCTGCAAGTCTCTGTCTGAACACCTCAACATTTTGGTCACTTGAAATCAATTTAAGAGTCATATTCCTGCATTGAGAGGCACCTGAAATGTCTTTTCTCTTTGGATCCCAGTCCAGGTCATCACTGTTTCCATAAGCGTACCGGTCTGCTTCATCTAAGGGACGTAAAAGACCTTTTAAAATGTCAAAAGTAAACATTTTGTAAAGAAAAGATGGTGAAATGTAAAAGCATGTCTTACCAACTGAGGTTGGCTGTTTGTTATCTTTCGGCCTTATGAAATCACCATTTGCATAGACAGCTGCCATTCTACAAGTTGTCACACACAACCAGAAATCTAATCAGACCTTAGACTAATGTAACCAGGAAATGTCATGGCTGTTTTGAACTCAACCAAGAGGAAGTCAGAACTGAATCCTTTGAAGCATACAGCTACAGTGGGTACCGAAATGGACAGCACCTGAGTTAAATATATGAGTGTCACAGCAAAGGGTCTGAATACTTCGGACCATGTGATATTTCAGTTTTTCTTTTTTAATAAATCTGCAAAAATGTCAACAATTCTGTGTTTTCTGTCAATATGGGGTGCTGTGTGTACATTAATGAGGAAAAAAAATTAACTTAAATGATTTTAGCAAATGGCTGCAATATAACAAAGAGTGAAACATTTAAGGGGGTCTGAATACTTTCCGTACCCACTGTATATCCCCTAACAATGACATTATATGATGCATTGTACATCAGCATATTGTTTACATTAATTTAAAATTCATTACTTGAGTATAGTTTACTTATATAGTATATACAGTTGTGCTCATAAGTTTACATACTCCTTGCAGAATATGCAAATGTTAATAATTTTAACAAAATGAGAGCTCATGAAAATTGCATGTTATTTTTTATTTAGTACTGTCCTGAATAAGCTATTTCACATAACAGATGTTTATATATACTCCACAAGAAAAAAATAATAACTGAATTTATAAAAATGACCCCGTTCAAAAGTTTACACACCCTTGAATCTTAATACTTTGTGTCATTTCCTGGATGATCCAAGACGGTTTTTCTGTTTTGTGATAGTTGTTCATGAGTCCTGCATTGGTCCTGAGGAGTTCAACTGCCTGCTGTTCTTCAGAAAAAAATCCTCCAGCTCCTGCACATTCTTTGGTAGAAATAATGTTTAGGTCCACACAGGAGAATCTGAGAAACAGCTAAAGTAATACAAGCGCAATTTTTTTTACATTTGCATAGGAATTACGTTTTTTATAATGTTGCGTCACATGTTAATCAAAGTTTCTGCTTCAAAGACTGTTCACTTTTTTAGCGCTGAATGATACACATTAAGTTGTAGTAGCTACCCAACTTTTTCTTGCCGTAAAAATGGGCGCAGCCATTTGTAAATTCTATGGGTCTAGCTTCCGGTCTCATCCGAGTCCAGCTATTTTTAGCTGTACAAAACAGTTCATTTTGCTGCTTGATATCGAAAATGTCTTATCATATTATTTTAATGTATTACCTTAATTATGAACACACTGGTTTGTAGTGCAAACCGTTTTACCGTTTACTGTACGTTGTTATTCTCCTTCGTTATTTACCTATAGCGGCTAATGAACCGGAAGTCTCACCCATAGGCTTACTTCCGCGTTGAAGAAAAAGGTGGATAGGCTACTAATAAAAAACAATATTATAACATTTAACACATAACAAAGCGAATTACGTTATGCGCATATAAAACACCTGTATTCAGATTTAAAAACGACATTTGCAATATTTATGTCTAGTCTGTCCGCTGATGTACAGTTCACTCATGAAGATGAACATAATTCGCTTGCGCTTTAAATCAAGCAGGTAAAATTCTCAAACTAATTGACCTGCTCATGAAGTTCGCGTTGTAAGTGTACGGTACAGGGAAACGTTAGCTATAAGAAAAATAGATGATTTCCTATTCATTTGACCCGTTAACTGTCACCGTCCCACCTGTGGGACGTTTGGCGCTCTTTTTCTTTGTTGTCTTTTTTCTCTATCAAATCTTTTAGTAATCATCATAAATCATATATCATTTGAAAGCTTAGAAGCCCAAGATTCATCCTGTGAAAACCATTTCGAAATCAGACATTGCGTTACCATGGAAATGGTACTTTAAAATCTTTTGGCGGTCTCCTCCCCCTTAGTGGGCGGTGTCAAGTGTCATATTACAAAATGCATTACGGTCTTTTAAAATCAAAACTTTTTATAATCTTGACAAAAAACATATCATTGGAAAGGTCTGAGTCTCAGGATAGAAGCAATATTGACAGAGAAATCTAGACATTTATGACAGAAAAAATGCATTAAAAATCCTTATGTCTGTATTCCAAAGTGTTCATAAATTACAACAATTTAAGTCTGGATAGTGCACCCGCATGCCTATTTTAAAAAATGGGGGGTGACAGTTAAAGGGTTAAAATCCCAAAATGGCGGCGGGGACGCTTTACTGTTTACTGTCGAGAGCAATCAACGAGGAGGGAGATGTTTCGCGGCCCCGGTTGCCATGGTAACTCAGACCCGTCACTATGGAACGTTCGAGGATGACGTCACATTGGGCCACTGTAAAGCCGGATTTGGAACCTTATTTCACTGTCGCTTGCTGTGCGAGTAATATCAGTGAACACTGAGTGAATATCTGTCTGAACGAGTACGACAATCTTGCTGAATCGTCTTCTCATAAAAGACCAGAAATTCAGTTTAACAATATCAAACCCCGAGAGAGAGAGAGAGAGATCTGTGAACACTCTCAGAACAATGTAAACCAGAATTGTTGAAAGTCTCAGTATACTCTGTAGAATATGAAGAGTCCTCATATAGGATCAGAGATGGCTTTTAACAAGAATGCATCATCATCTTCTTCCTCCTCCTCCTCCTCTTCATCATCCTCAGTTGTGGATGAAATGTCAGAGATGTCGCTGAGGAACGCATCTCTCGACTCATCTGATGAGGAAGTTTCCTCCAGTCACACTGACAGGCTTGTGAAACATCAACTGCTGCTCAACAAAATCTTGGACCTTCAGTACAGAGCCCGAGAGCGCCAGGAGGAGTTTCAGTCACTGCTGGAGCGATTTAACAGTACACGTTAGTCATCGGTTTTTAGTTATACATTTATGCATATGTAGTTCAGTACTCAGAGCACTGGCCAGGGAGTCGAACAGAGAGGTCAAGTTAATGGCTTTATTAATTGGCCTGATTCTTCAAGGCCATACAAAAAACTAGCACTTCAAATAAATAAAAGAATACAAATAAATCAGGCATAATTAGGCATTTATTGGTATTCAGTTGTACTTAAATGCAAATCGATTAACCATATAGGAAGCTAGAGAGAAATAAGACACACCCATATAATTTTGCTGATTAAAAACGGCAATTTAAAATGTGATTGGGGGGTGATTCCTGTGCTTGTTTATGGGGCAGCAAAATTTGGACAAAATGTTGTGATTATATAGGCTATCAATATGGCTATAAAATAAAATAATAATAATTATTAGTATTATAGCCTAATATAATTGTTATATAGCCTAATATGAAATTATTGTTATTGTATTATTATATTAGAAAAAAAGGCTAGTAAAATAAAAATAATAGAAGAAATATTAATAATGTTAGCGCTTAAAACTATCAAATCAATAATAACATTCATGGCTTATTTCTTAATTTTCTAATATTAAACAATCAACCTTAAACCTTAAGAGCCATAGAGAGCCCTTAAAACTTCTGTTGATAAGCGTTTCAGGGAAGATGGATGGTGCCTAATGCATTGACAGATTTACTCTAAAGCCCCAAATTCGGATCAGATGCAGAGATGAGATCTGCGCTTCACTTTGAAACGAAGCAGCGCGTATATTTAATTAAATTGCAGCCTTTGAGATTTGACAGTCACAACAAGCCAATTCTCGATTTCAGTGTTATTTTGATTATCTGTGCAGCCCTAACCCATATATTGGTGTGCTTTTTTAATGTAATCTTAATTGTACTTAACAGTTAATGATACTTATGTTTTACTTCTTACAGGGGAATCGCTAGAATGGGAGATTGAAAAAGTGGAGAAATCCATGGTCAGCATGGAGTGGCTGGAGGACTTGCAGAAGATCGTTGATGAGTTCCAGGCCAATATGGCATACAATGTGAGCCGCCTTCGAGAGAACTTCAGAAAAATGCAGGAGGTTGCATCTAAAAAAGTTCTGACCGTGAAGCCAAAAGGTAAGTTAACGTACACACACCATTTGAATCGCTTTGGTTGCGATGCGATCTAAAATGCTATGTCAGGGTAGCTTACAGAGTAAAATGTGTTTGCTTTCAGGTAAACCAGGAAAAGATCTGGATGCCAAAGTAGTTAAAAGCATCCAGTCTCTGCCGTCTTGTCCCACGGTAGCAGAATTGAAGGCGAATTCAACCGCTGCATCAACGTACTCATCAAACCTGATCAACGTGTTGAATAGCATCACCAAATCGACCTCCTGCAGTCCAGCCACAAGCAGGGCACTAAAACTATCAGCAGCGACCATTGAAAACCTCAACAAGGCTTTTCAAGATCACTGCTTGGAAATGAAGTCTCTCAAGACACCTCAGAAAGAGAGCAAAGTGGCTCAAGATGTGAACAGAGATGTCTTAGTTTCTCCTGTGCACCAAAATGGATCTGCGGTTCAGCAGCAGAAGGTACAAAAATTGCCTGCTTTTCCTGTGAAACCCAAGGCAGATGATTTTGGTTTCCCTCAGGTCAAAGAGCTTGTACGGGAGACAGATGTTGAAGTGTTGCCACTAGAAAGACCAGTGGCAACATTAGACACAGCTCCAAAAGACCTCCAGAGTCCATCTGCCCATGGCCCGTTTCCTCCTGCCCCTGCCAAGACTTTTGCTCTCCCCAAGATCACACGATCTGTCGAGGAGACAAAAGTTACCATAGAGCAAAAGGCAAACGTCACATCATTTAAAGAGAAACAAGTTGATGCAGAGACAATGGAGAGAACAGAGACATCATTTGAAGAGACGATGGCTCAGAAAGACCTCCAGAGTCCATCTCTTCGTAGCTTCCATCGTCCGTCCCCCGTCAGATCTTCAGCTCTTCCTCAGATTTCGCAGTCTGTGGAGGAACCAAAAGTTGATACTGAGACAATGGAGAGAACAGAGACATCATTTGAAGAGACGATGGCTCAGAAAGACCTCCAGAGTCCATCTCCTCGTAGCTTCCATCGTCCGTCCCCCGTCAGATCTTCAGCTCTTCCTCAGATTTCGCAGTCTGTGGAGGAACCAAAAGTTGATACTGAGACAATGGAGAGAACAGAGACATCATTTGAAGAGACGATGGCTCAGAAAGACCTCCAGAGTCCATCTCCTCGTAGCTTCCATCGTCCGTCCCCCGTCAGATCTTCAGCTCTTCCTCAGATTTCGCAGTCTGTGGAGGAACCAAAAGTTGATACTGAGACAATGGAGAGAACAGAGACATCATTTGAAGAGACGATGGCTCAGAAAGACCTCCAGAGTCCATCTCTTCGTAGCTTCCATCGTCCGTCCCCCGTCAGATCTTCAGCTCTTCCTCAGATTTTGCAGTCTGTGGAGGAAACAAAAGTTAATGCGGAGACAATGGAGAGAACAGAGACATTCTTTCAAGAGACGATGGCTCAGAAAGACCTCCAGAGTCCATTTCTTCGTAGCTTCCATCGTCCGTCCCCCGTCAGATCTTCAGCTCTTCCTCAGATTTTGCAGTCTGTGGAGGAAACAAAAGTTAATGCGGAGACAATGGAGAGAACAGAGACATTCTTTCAAGAGACGATGGCTCAGAAAGACCTCCAGAGTCCATTTCTTCGTAGCTTCCATCGTCCGTCCCCCGTCAGATCTTCAGCTCTTCCTCAGATTTCGCAGTCTGTGGAGGAACCAAATGTTGATACGGAGACAATGGAGAGAACAGAGACGTCATTTGTGGAGACGATGGTTCAGAAAGACCTCCAGAGTCCATCTCCTCGTAGCTTCCATCGTCCATCCCTCATCAAATCTTTTGCTCTTCCTCAGATTTCACAGTCTGTAGAGGAGACAAACGTTTATGCTATGTCAGTGGAAGAACGCCAGAGTCCGTCTCCTGTCCACACCCGTCCTTCCTTGTCTGTGAAACTGCCCAAAATTCGGACTCAAGTAAAGCCATCACTTCAGAAGTCTGACAAACCAGAGACTTGCAAATATGATTCTGCAGTCTCGGGCAGCATTGAGGAGCGGTACATGAAGAACAGCGAGGAGGACGGTGACAAACTGCTTCGTGCAAGCATGAAAGACCCATCATTCGTAATTGACATCAAAGCTCAAGAAAACAACCTTCAGCAGCTGGATCGAGCTTTTCAAAATAACAACATCTCCTCTGAAATGTACAACCTGTGCAGAGGAACCGTCAATCAGACACTTAAGAGTGTTGAGCTGCGTCTTGGATGTCTTTTACGGAGATACATCAAACATGTCCAAATGAAGCAATTAAGGTAAGAAAAACTTCCTTTGGCTAACGGTTTGTTTGATTATAGGCTAATTATGTGTTTTGTGGTAAATCATTTTACAATGTGCCATAACAAAAATCTCATTTTTGCTCATTGCACGTTTTCTCTGATATATAGGAAGACGCTCGATGGAAATTTCAAGGCGACCAGAAATTTAAGGGATGGACTGGAGTTCAAAAAAGTTCATTCTCAGCTCTGCAAATTTGACCGTTTCCAGCAGAGTGTGAACAAAATCTGGGACGCCAAGCAAGCCTCCACTGATGAGACACGCAGACTGTGCATCGCACGGACGGCCCATTTATACCGACAGGTCAGTACGAATTAGACAAAATGGCATTAAAGCATTGATACTGAGTCTAACACTAGTTTGTCATGTTCTAATAATGTAAACAACATTAATAATGTTTCACCTACAGGTGAATGCGGTGCATGGCCTACATCTGACAGGCATATCATGTGTGCAAAGGCATGTATCATTGCCTCTGCTCACTGTGACACCTGTGCGGTTCAGCTCCGATTTGTGTCCGTCTCCTCCTCGGGATCCTCAAACTGCAGCCAGCAGAGCCAGTCCAGCGCATAATCCTCAAATCCACCCCAAAGCTCTGCACCGCACAAAGGCGACCAGGAACATACCAGGCAGTTCCCTGAAGATCAGTCACATTCAATATTGATGGCCAGTGTCAACAAGTAATGTGTAGAATAATGGCTTGTAAATGAACCCAAGAACAGATCCTTGAAATGTCACTAAATTAAAACAAAAGCGAGGACTCTGGAGGCTTCGCATCAGGAACGGACTCTGGCATGGATACAGCAACTGAAACAGAAACAATGGCCTGTATATAGACATAAGAAGATGGGTTCATTTACATTTGTTACACTGCACTGCTCAATTAGCAGTTATTGACATTTGATTGGTTAACCCATATTAGTGATTTCAAGCTTTGCCAGAGTCAATTGTATTAACATTTTTTTAAAATAAAATTATATATAGAGAGAGCGAGAGAGAGGAAGGTAGAGCTATGTCTTAGTCAGTATATATTTGTGTTCAAGCTGATATAATAAAAATTATAAATAATAACGATATAAATCTCTCTTTATTGCTGGGCACCTAAATCTTTTAATCAATTATTTTGAAATTCACATTCAGTGTGTTTGTGAAGATTCCAAACCAGGTCAGCATAAGGGTCTGCTTCAGCGAAGCGATGTAGAAGAAAAGACCTTAAAAACGCAAAGAAAAAAAGTTTTATTTTATTTACATGAATTCATTTAGCAGAAGCAGGTGTTTTTTGGATTTATTGACATTATTCTGAATTATCGCTGAACCTTAGAAGCGCATCACTGAGTAGATTAGGTTGTATGGTCTATAATACAGAGACCCTATAGGGACATGGTGATGGAAAATAATTATATTCCAATGCTTATGTCAGTGGACTATAAACACTAAAATAAAAATAATAAAGCATGTACATCTGGGAAAATGCTATCAAAATGTGTGTAATGTGTAAGTCTGATAATGCTCGACCTTTTTTAAAAAAGACATGTTTAATATTGCCATCTCCTGGCGCTTTTGAGAAACACATTTAGACAAAGATGTAACTATATCCCGGTTCCAGTTGTTTAGAATCACTTTTTTTTTACTCTTGATATTATGGTGTAAATTTACAAAAATAATTTTAGGTCTCATTATCTCTTGTTTGTGCGAGAAAAAGAGCATCTCAAGTCATTAAAATCATGCATGAATATTCATGCTTTGTTAATTTTGCAAAAGAACCAAAGACTTAAACTACTTCAGTCTGTGTGCACTGAATTTATTTAATACATGAGTTTCACAATTTGAGTTGAATTACTGAAATAAATGAACTTTTCCACAACATTCTAATTTATTGAGATGCACCTGTATGTAAGTCAAATTTTGCTTGGCTACAATGTCCAGGCTAGATGTTCATATTTTCTGCTTTGATGTAACTAGTATATTCTTGATCTCTGTTCTTCTCAACCTTTAAGTCAGTCACAGTAAAGTACTTGACGGCTGTATTTCATTCAAAGTATAGGCACACTTTTTCATAGTAGTGCAAATTTGGCCTGTGATGACCTTTCATCTGGCCATGTTAAATAAAAAACAAATATTCCATTTATTTGTAATTATTGTATTTATTATTATTATTAATTTGCTTAATTTTTTAGTTGCATTTTTGCATTTAATGATAAAATAAAAAATGCATTTAAAAATTCAACTTTTAATATAATACAGTTATAATTATGATATAGGTTATACTTTCACCTTCAGCCCACAGAGCAAAGTTTGATTTTTGGCCATTCATAATTTGGCCATCTCTGGTCAAGAACATTTTGAGTCTTTGTCCTGCAGAGGGCAGTGTGGCAATATTTTGATATGAACAGTGAACTTGTTACACATTATGAGGTCACCGCATGACAAAAACAGTCCTGATTCATGATTGCAACAGCCTTTATTTGTATTATGCAGCTGGAGGTGTGTTCTTAAAAAACAGAGAAAAACGACTTTAAACCACAGTCTCTTCTCATTATTCATTCATATAGGGCCGTTTTTTTTCACCATCTTGTCTCTGTTGACCTGAATGGACAAGTATCATAGACAGATCGCCTCCAGGGAGCCCTGCAGTCCTTACACATTAAAATCATTTCAGCAAACACAAGGTTTGAGTTTAAGCACATAAACACGCATAATAAGCATTTCCATTGTTAAATTCATCAGACTTCATGTAGAAACCGTTTAGTGTCTGGCACTCACCCGAATAGAAATATCTTTCACGTGAGCCATCTTCATTAGTCCAATTTACTCGTCGTTTGCTCACAAAACATAAAAGCATCATGGAAAAGGTCACCAGTAAAAAGATTTGTGCTGAAAACTGAACGTGTTAAAGGAACCGCAGTCGTCTAAAAATCGCACTCCTGGCCAAGCAGAGCAGGAAAGCGGTAGAAAGAAAAGAGAGAGTGAGAAAGAGCACAAATTTTGTCCACGATTCACATTATCACACCGTCTGGCTCTTTCAGACAATCACGATCATTTGAGGCAAGATTAGGGTGCAGGGTCAAAGGTCAGAGGTTGCCAGACCTCAGAGCCGCAAGTCTCAGAAAAGCCATGGCAGTATCCGCACCACAGTCCGAGTGAGGAGGACTTTAGGCACCAGTGGGGTTTTCATCCAGACCGAATCAGTTCTTATTTTAATAGCAAATCAGCAAAGTGCATCAGTTGTGGCCCAGTCTGTCAGGTTCAGCTCGGTTCTGAACAGCAGGGTGAGGGTGCAGTCACATGATGCAGCACTTGTTCTTGAAAATGTGCGGGTGTTTGTAGCGCAGTCTCTGTTTGGGCCGATATTTCTCTAGATACGTCAGCTGCTTGCTGTTTATTGCACCTCTGCGCTTCCTGCGAACACAGAAAATTAGCATTAGTGTGTTGATTTACATTCGTCACGTTCCAACCGAATGAAACCAGGCAGATAAAAATGGCTTGCGATCTCATGTTTCATTCCAGCCCACGCTGGGCTGAAAACAGAATTGAAATTAAAACAGTAACCAAAGGGACGGAGCTTAAAGGGTTAATGGTGAATCTTTTGCATGTCGAAAGCTTGCAGCTTGGCCTTGCTATCAAAAGGCACTCTGGCAAGCGCAAGCGACTGAGAACTAGCGTTTAAGATCCACTCGTATGAATGTAGCTGTTGACGTCAAGAGCTCAAGGTCTGTGGTTCTTGAAAGAAGTCAAGAGAGAGATGTACGCACTGTCTGATGAACTGGATGGCATCTTCATACTTCATCCCACTTTCAATCAGTGCCACGGCCACAAGTACTGGAGCTCTGCAGAAAAAAATAAAGACATTTTGAGAGAGGTGCGACATTGACCTAAACAGACTGCTCTATGTGTATGTGTGTGTGCGCGTGTATGAGAGAGATCTCTCACAGAAACACTGTTAGACACGTACACTAGCAATGTCAAAATAGCATTTTTTTGTACGTTTTGTATCCTTGTTTTATAAAAAAATTTCAAGGATTGAACACTTAATGTGCATTTTTGTTTTATTGTTTTTATTTGTTATTTGTCTATTACATGCAAGTTGATCTCTCACAGAAACACTGTTAGACACGTACACTAGCAATGTCAAAATAGCATTTTTTGTACGTTTTGTATTTTTGTTTTATAAAAAAATTTCAAGGATTGAACACTTAATGTGCAATTTTGTTTTATTGTTTTTATTTGTTATTTGTCTATTACATGCAAGTTTACTTAAAGGGGGGGCACAATGCTGTTTCATGCATTCAGAGTTGTTTACACTGGTAAAGAGTCGGATTCTCATGCTAAGCATGGACAAAACTTCAAAAAACAATTTGGACATATGACGGAGTATTTCTGTGCTAAAAATCTTACTTCCGGGTTCGTACAAGTCTCGGAGAGTTTTTTTTCGATCGTGGCTCTTCATGACATAGACGAGGGTGAAACTCCTTATATGGGCATTTCTCCCGGAAGTGCGCGCCCGCGCACGCATCAACCAGAGCAAGAGCGTGATCGCGCCCATCAACGTGCTTCATCCGGCGGCAGCGCAGCAACGCTGCACGGGACTCACTCGGGAAGAATGTCTCCAAAGAAGTGTGTTTTTGGTTGTAAAGGAAAGATAACATTGTTCAGCTTCCTAAAGAACCCAACGTTATGCAAGTTAAACAGTGGATGCAGTTAGTTTTTCCGGAGCAGCAACAGAGTTAAAGAGTCGGATTCTCATGCTAAGCATGGACAAAACTTCAAAAAACAATTTGGACATATGACGGAGTATTTCTGTGCTAAAAATCTTACTTCCGGGTTCGTATAAGTTTCGGAGAGTTTTTTTTCGATCGTGGCTCTTCATGACGTAGACGAGGGTGAAACTCCTTATATGGGCATTTCTCCCGGAAGTGCGCGCCCGTGCATGCATCGACCAGAGCAAGAGCGTGATCGCGCCCATCAACGTGCTTCATCCGGCGGCAGCGCAGCAACGCTGCACGGGACTCACTCGGGAAGAATGTCTCCAAAGGAGTGTGTTTTTGGTTGTAAAGGAAAGATAACGTTGTTCAGCTTCCTAAAGAACCCAACGTTATGCAAGTTAAACAGTGGATGCAGTTAGTTTTTCCGGAGCAGCAACAGAGTTTCACAAGTGTGTTTGTTGACAAACGTTTTATAAGCAATGCCCAGTTCGACGCTGGATTTGCACATCGTTTGATACTGAAGGATGGAGCTGTCGAGCTATAAAAGATCCCGGTCATGATTCAGAACTGCAGACGGTAAGTGAAACAGCATCAAATGTCTGTATTTTGTTGGCAGTCGGAGCTCAAGTGTTCGTCAATCTTTAGCTCCGCCCACGGCGCGCCTCCAGGAGCTTGGCTTTTTCCTGAGAGAATCGTAAAGCTGTATCTTTCTTTTATAAATATGATAAAACTAAAGACTTTTTGGAGATATAATGGATGCAGTACTACTCTATAGGTACTCAAGATTAACATGTTTCGAACAACACGAGGGTGAGTAATTAATGACAGAATTTGCAGAAAGTGCTCTAAATTAAGCGTTAGCGTTAGTTCTGGCAGGTCACGTGAGTCAAGCTTGCATCAGCTGATCACATCTACCTATAGGAATACGACACCTATCGCGGCATTCCTATATAAGCTCCATTCAGTATTTTTACAAATTACCCTCCTCCATCCCTAGCTCCTCCTTTCACCACAGTCAGGACTTGGCTTTCTGATATTCCTTGCTAATCAGACTCCTTTATCTTGAATAAAGTGTTACACTTAAATATCATTAAGTACATTAATGATATCTGCCTTGTTCTGTTCTATTAACCCTAGGGGGGTTATTATTGCTGCTCTCCCCGCTCATTCATGA